CTGAGGGGAGCGCGGCCCTCACGCCGGCCCCCCGGTGCTTGGGGAGAGCTAGGCCGGGGGAAGCCGTGTGTTTTGGGAGGTGGGTGCTGCACAACGCCACGCCTGCAGCGTTCCCCTGCTAGGCACTTCTCTCCATTGCTAACCTGTGCCCTATGGCACTTACCAGGGAAGGAGCACACCAGCCCCTCCTCCGGTATTTTCTTCTGTATTTTAATAACATTAAGGTGCTTAATAAGAAGGGAGGGAGATAACTCCTAACCAAAAGTGATTGCTTAAAGTGTTAGGTTATGGGGTTGGTTCAACTGATTCATAATTACTGCAGAGGCCCACTTTCCACAGGAAGAGCAAAGATGCAGAGTGGTGATTTACACATGTCACTTAGAGATGATATATTTTGATTGTGCCCAAACAGAGGAAAGAATTGAGTCCTGGTCTCCTTAGATAAGTAATTAGTTGATACAGCCAAAAGTTGGCCTTGAGCACTTTGAGTGGGGTTCCCTCACTGGGCTCACCTTGTTTCATAGCCACGGTGGTATGGGGTCATCCAAACCCCCACCTGCTTGTGGCTGCTCCAAGCACCAGCTCTGCAGCAGTTCTCCCCAATTGCAGTAGCCCCAGTAGGGTTGTGAAGGCCTTACCACTCAGCTACAAGGCAGAATAGCAGCAGTTGAAGCAGTCTTTCCCCTTTCTTTTTTCCCTTAAATAAACGATCCCTTTTTCCTAGTTCTTAGACAAAAATGTTATCAGCATCTTCTCTCCAGAGAAAATAGAGAATGAGGATTCCCCAGAGAAAAAAAAAAAAAACCCACAACCCTTCCCTGGAGGGCTTGAAGATGCTCCACTCCGTGGAAGAACCGGATTTATCAAACACTCTTGCACTTAGCATTTTCTACCATACAGAATCTTGAGCAGTGCGTGGGTTGCTCTGGATCTCACCCTGAAGGGATTAGCTCCTCAAGTACTGTATGGCTTGTATAGCTTACACATTTTCCCTTCAGTGAAGTACCCAGCTTTATCTTTGGGGATCAAGAACCTAAAAATAAAACTCCACTGCAGCACCTGGCATCACATCCTCACATTTAGTACTTGGTCCCTTTCCTCCGTGTTTCCTGTCAGCCGAGCGCAGTAACTTCCTGCCCAGGAGCCATGCTTTTGTTAAACGTGGTGTGACAACAAGAAGGGCACTGACCTCAATGTTAAACTGGCAGCATGACTTTGGTGTTGCAACGCTGGAATGTATTTATTCATGCCAACAAGACAGACGGCAAAGTTCTCAGCCATTATCCTGATACTCTCTCGCGCGTGTGTGCATTCGTATGTGTGTGTGTGTGTGTGTATCTATCTATCTATCTATCTAGGGGAACAGAGAAGTCAGTTTTGAAAGATTTGCAAGTACAAGTAAGTTTTGCAGTCTTCAAGTGTTCACTGAGCAAGTAGATTCTTGGCTTGATACTATCTATAGTTGATACTGTCATTGTACCAGAAAGTATCATAAAGGAAGTGTAAATGGGCATGTGAAAGATCACCCAGTTAACACTGCGAAGTAAGAAGGATTTCCTGCTGGGCTGCCTAAGATTATCTCACCCCACAGTCAGCACTCAAAGCGCTCTTCGAACAGCCTGCTCCTTGTCAACATAGCAGCTGAATGTGAACAGCTGCTGATGGTGGAATGCCCTAACATTTGTAACCATTATGCAGTCTCTCAAGAACTCCGTAATTCTTCTCTCACTTCACAGATAGGGAAAGCAAAACAAAAATTAAAGGAGCTCGTTCATGTTTCTAAAGGATGGGAAGATGAGTAGGCATAGCCTACTCCATTGGCTTCTGCATTTCTCCAGCTGTGCAGAACGGGGCAGGGGGGGGAGAAAAAAAGTACAGCATCACTACAAATTCATCATCTTTACACTTACTGTCACATCATCCAGTCACAGAAGGTGCAATTCATCTCAACTGACTTTAATATGAGGGTGATTTTTATATCTGATATGGTCAGTCTCAGCTCCCTTTTTAGTCAGTGGAGAGAAACAGGCCTGACTGATCTAGCCCAGATGTGCTACTCAGAAGGAGGTTGAATCATACCCTGTAAACATCTGCATCTCTTCAGTGACTATAAAACAACAAGCTCAGATCCAGGCACCTGTGTTTGGTTGCACAAATGCCATCCTCCCTTCTGAGCAGGAATAAGGACACAACTACCCATCACTGGCCTGTTCTCTTTCACACTGTAACAGAGGGTGACATCAGCAAAGATTGGGTGCTTGTTGAAAGCCCGGGAAAGCATTACAGCTGCAGTCAGCTTGTCTAATGCCACAGCTGAGAAAATGAAACAAATAAGATAGGGCTATTGAAAACAAACAAACAAAGATAAAGACCTTATGTGTGCAGTTCCTTTTTCTTCAATCTTACACTAAAGCTGATCCCGAATGCTTTTGCAGTGAAAGCAATAGAAACACTGCAACAACAGGGAGATTCTTGAAGCTGTGCTACCCATGAAGTGAAACCCTTCATCTCGGGCAAGGCAGGACAGCTAACAACAAAGCCATTCTGCAACTTGTAGAAGACATGAGCATTTGAGGCAATAAACTTACTCCAGATGTATGTATGCATGTTTTTACGTGGTACTCTGTTGGAAGCTAGAGGTCATTACATCGTCTGTGATACTCAGGAGGGGGGTGTTTATACTCACTGTCCTTTTGGTGCCACCGCACTGCATGCAGAAACACACCACAGTAGTGAAACATGAACTCGTGCCCAGAGTGCTGAACTGTTCCCCGCAGCAAAGGCAGCAAGGTGCGCCCGTCGATTATCCTGATGGAGAGGACGGGAGTCACCAGACTACTTAAGAATTTCAGTCTGCAGCTGGAGCGTGAGCAGTACTCACTCTCCATGTATGCAGCATTAGGATTTCAAGTTTCATTTCTAAACCAAGCTACTATTTAGCTAATGAGCCCTGAGATTTTTAATTGTGTGGATGGGTGGAGACCAGTGATTAGCAGTTGCTAGCAGTTTTTGCAATTACAGCTAGTTCACACATCCTGCCTGGGGAGATAAGTCACCATTAGTGTAATTGTCGTGGAAGTAAGTAATAACCATAGTGAGGGCATGGTTCACAGCTTTTAATTTTGCTCCCTGAAATGGAAGTCACTGATAGCTCTGTGAGCAGGAGGCTTCATTAAAAAAAAAAAAAAATTGACTAACAGTTGGTTTAGTTACATACCACCAGTACTTTTAAACTTTTTGCTCAAATGGCTTAGCCACCCACGTTTTCTTGTGTTCTTTAGAAGAGTCTACTAACATAGATGCTACAAATTGTTTGCTACCAAGGAAGCTACTTCTCCGGTACTGGCAGCCAAATGCAGGCCATGTGCCATTGGCTCCACCTTCCCTACTCATGAAGAACCAGGCTTCCTAGTCTTGGAAAGGGCCTGTCCTAGTACTCTAACAGGACCAACCAGCTTTGTGAATATCTGCGTCTGTAGACAAGATGGGGAGAGAGCTACACAGAAAGCAAGCTACAGAATTTTCTGGTTAAGAAACAAACAGAATTTAACCTGTGGCTGTTAGGATGCATGACATATATAGTCAGCACCTGTCTAAATCAAGAAAGGGGAGCAAATATGGTTTGTGAAGCCACTTTTGTACCTGTCCTGAGGCACTGCCCCTCCAGCGATGTGAACCACTGTTGGGAAAATGTCCATAAGGCTTGTCAGTTCATTGATAACTGTCCCTGCAGGCAACACTGCTGGCCATCTAACTATTCCTGGGACACGGATCCCTCCTTCCCAGCCTCCCATTCCTTTTCCACCTGTTAGAGGCGAGAAAAAGTACCAAAAGAGATAAAAGAATAAAAGATACTAAACATTATGAATGTATAATAAAAGGTTTTAAAACTTTCAGAATATTCAAGTAACTTTAATGAAAATACACTAAATCCTGGAGAACAGTAGAATGACTACAGTGCAAATTCCATTCTTCATGCCACCTTGTCAGCCTTTAAAACCAAGCTCTGGGAACCTTGCCTCTCAAGAGAGTCTAGATGAAACATCTGTATGATAGGGAAGAAACTGGAAGGTTATATCAAGAATATAGTCATCATGATATCTGCCAGTGTTGACATAGATAATTGTCTACTGTGAAAAACAGAAGAATGTTTCAAGAGAGACTCCAAACAGCGTGTTCTGGATCTGCGTCAAAGGAAGTTCAGACTCGACATTAGGAAAAGGTTCTTTACTGAGAGAGTGGGCTGTCACTGGAATAGGCTTCCCAGGGAAGTGGTCATGGCACCAAGCCTGTCAGAGTTCAAGGAGCATCTGGACGATGCTCTTAGTCCTATGGTTTAGTTTTAGGTAGTCCTGCGAGAAGCAAGGAGTTGGACTCGATGATCCTTATGGGACCCTTCCCACTTGAGATATTCTATGATTCTATGATGCTACAACATTTTGAAGTAGTGCTTTGCGTTATGGATTAGATAGTGTGCTTACAATATTTAAAGACAACATGGAACTAGAAGGGGGTACAAGTGTACTGGAGTCTAAGGAAAGGATGAACGAGGGGGAACATAACAGCATTGAAATACATTATGACCTTGCAACAACAGGCAAGGAGGAAAGGAAGAATCTCTTCTCTGTAGATTGGTGAATAGGGCAAGATCTGTTGCTTAAAATGCAGCAAGAAAATCCAAGGTAGTTACCAGGAAAAAGTCTCCAGTAGCACAGACAATGAAAACTGGATTATCTGGGAAATCACTGAAGTCTTTAAGAATAGGTTAGACAATACAGCTATCAGGAGTAGCTTTGGTGAAAGTGATCCTGTCTGGGGGCTAAAAGATGAATAGCTCATGCTCTGAATTTGCTCCAGCCCTACAATCCAAGATTATCATCCCAGCTTAGTAAATATAGTTTATCTGGATGCATTTTACTCTATCATTTTCTTTTTAAGAGGAATTCTTATGCATGTACACATTACCAAAATTTTACCTTTATAGATCCCATTCCATCCACCCAACTGAGCATTTCCTCTGTGAGCCTCTAAAGATCCTCCATGATCAGAAGCAAAATAAATGAATGTGGTATTCTTCAAGCCTTCTCTGTCAATAACATCCAGAAGCCTGCCTATAAACAAAGCAAAACATCGTAATTATGTCCACAGATGCAGTCAAATTTTTTAGGTCTTGACTCAAAATTCAGTGAAGACCGAGTCTTTCCATTTACTTACATGAGTTCTGTTATGAGCTACCACAAGCAATGCAAAGAGTAATCCTGCATTACAGAAATAATAAGAGCCCAAGAGAAAGCTGCTGAATGTGCCCAAAATTTGCTTGTGGTGTCTATAAAAACAGTAAAATAAAAAATAAAACCAATTGGAAAATAATTCAAATTAATGATCCTTTTATTCAAGCTACTCAGAATACTCTGTCAGCTTTATGCTGTAAATTCTCTGAGTCAAGGATTGTCTCCATTGTGTAGCTTCAAGCATCTTGAAAAGCTTAAACAATGCTGCCTAGATTCCTAATCATAGAAAACTGCTGTGTCTCACCAGGGACTGAACAGGGACTCTGAGATCAGGCTGCATACTATCAACCAAAATCTTCTCCTGATGTCAGTGGTAAAAACTTCACAGACTGTAATTCAAACCTAGGTTCATAAGGAATGCTTTCAGTACTGATAGCGTCAAATGTTTATACTGAATATGATTTATCTTTAATTGCTTGTCCTCATCACCTACTGCATCAAATATATTCACCAAGAACAGCTTCCATAGCTACAGAAGCAGCAGCAAAAGCTGAAGTACGCGAGTTAAAAGCATAAGCCAGTGATCAGCTCTTTTGCTCAATCTCTTCTCCTTTATAGACTTCCTGTGTCTCCTTGGTCAAACTATGCATTGACCTTACCTAAAAATAGACACCTTCCCCCAAAAAGAGTTTAGATTGAGTCTAGGCATATTGGTTCTGAATTGGTTCTTACTTAGCTGTCCAACCCTGGAGACGTCTGTCCTCACTAGCTGCCATCCTGTTTGGCCTATACAAGGCATGTTCCTTACACCATAGGACTTCTGCTATCCAGCTCTGCTTGCATAGCCTGTGCCTGAAGGTGACTGGTGCCAAAAATTTGGAAGAGGAATATGGCAGAGTCCTCTGGTTCAACTGGATCTTGCAGAGGTTCTCAGCCTGCCCATCAGAAGACATGGGGCTCTTCTCAAAATACAATTTTGTAAACATGGTTATTGGAGGAAGAAAAGGTTCAGGGATTGAATCTTGGCCTGGACAGGAGGGGAATACTTTGGCAATAGGGTCTTCGCTTTTGACTAAATACAAACAGGAGCTATCTCCCTCCCTCCCACTGAAGCAGAAAGGAACTACTAAGTAAGGCTTAGATCTACATCTAGGCTCTGAGTGCCGATTAAGTTTAAAAACCTAACCTAATCAGCACTCAGATCCTGGATTTAGATCTAAGTGAGTCTTCACGATGTACTGACTTCACACAATTTATTAAGTGAAACTCCATAGCCTTTTAACTTGGCCTTTTGGCTATGAGGGAGTTCTGGTTTCTGCTCCAAGGATTATTCTTTGATAAAAAGGAACAAGTACACAAACCAACCACCATATAATGCAGGATTCAACAGCAGCACCAGCTATATCTTCTGAGACTAGGCAGAGCTGGAGAGGTGTCATATATTTTGATTAACAATTTTGATTAGGTGATTAATAATGTGATCAAGCACATATTTGATTATTTGACTGCATTTAACACTGCAGCAAAGTCAATTAAAAAAATAGAAAGAACAAATCCTCACAAGAAAAGTTTGGGCTTTCATCTTAAGAAAGAAAAAATGAGGTGTGGTAATGGAATGGCAATCTCTGGAACTAACTGTATATCCAAGGCAAGTTCACTGATTTCTGTCTTATGCAAAAAGGGAGTTCTGCGACCACCCCTTTAATTTCTTTTCCACATTCAAATAAATGAAGGATTTTCTTCAAGACGACCACTTACCCACCATCCAGTCCATCTCCTCTACATTATCTCCGTATAGGCCATGTCTGCTTCTTCCCAGAAACTTCGCTGTGGTGATGAGAGGGGTGTGAACATGTAAGAGGGAAACAAAGAGAAGAAATGGTCTATGCTTGTTTCTGAAATAAAAGAAAACAATAGTCATTTTTCTGCAAACTGTCACTCAAACCAAAATACAATAGTGACATGGTAGTGACTATCTCAATAAAAATTATTATTGGGGTCTAAAATAAATTTTTTTGATTTTGACATCTTTGCATTTTTGAGGTTTTGGGAGACAGAGGGGATTAAAACACCCCTCAAAGATTTTGGTTCTGTATTAAGACCAAAATAGTGATGGGACCTTTCTTTCTCTGGTTCCAAATTAGACATGTGTAGAACATTAAATAAATAACTTGGCAAGCTCATAGCCAAAAGACTGACGCACTCTGATAGGCAAGGAGAATAGGACTCGCTTGCTTAAACTTAAACATGGATGTTACTGGACATCTGAGACATCCTCATGGAAGAGGCAGATACAACACTGCACCCACAGGGGAACCGTATCCCTTTGACATCAGGCCAGGCAGGTTATCCTAGGACCTGAGATTATCTATGCTCAAAGGTTCACAGAAGAGATTTCTCTTACCCCAATTTCCCTTAAAAAAGAAACAACCAACCCCTAAACCCTGAGAGAAATAGTATAATCTTATTCAGGGATATGCCCAGACTTGACACATGAATACTTTTATAGACTTAGTGGTTTGTTCAATTCCGGTTGAGGTTACTGATAGTATTGTAAATGAAGGACACCTTTGGAAAACAAAACAAAACTCACTATCACCCTCCTGTTTGTAAAAATATTAACTTCGTATGACACTTTCTATGACAGTCCATTCATCAGACCAAGATCATTTTTCTGTTCCTACTGGCAGAAAGCCCAGTCCTTGGCCAGGACCCCTTTGTTTTAGGTGAACAAAACACACACACACACACAAAAAAATCATCCTTTTCCTGAGGAGCTGACAAGCTATGTATAAGATGAAGGACAGCAGTTGGATGCTGACAGGTAGGGGGATGCCAGAAAACAACAAATTACTGGCCAGCATCAGGACAGGTAGTTCAGCATGCTAGCTGCCTACTCTAGTGGTGTATAAAAATAATCACATTATTTTTAAAAATCCTTAAAACATGATACAATTTTTGTTGGTTACCTTTCAATGAATGAAACTGCCTCCTTCAGCATATTAGAAGTAGTTTTTTCTAGATTCATCGGTTGTTCAGTGATATCATGGTTTCTCATGAGGATACAGTTCCAGTACTTGGTGAAACCATAGCTGGAGAACCAGGAGATGAAATACAGGAGACCACAGATGGCCAGGCATATAATTATTTTCCATTTTACTGAGAATAAATTGGTAAGTTTTCCAATCAAAAGCGTAAGCACTGCAAGGATGATCATCTGAGTGTAAAGCCAATATGTATCTTGCAAAGACTTGGCCAGTTCAGGGTCATCTGTGCCTTGACACTCATTCAAAAGGGTAAAAGGCATGCCGTAAAAATAATCAAAGCCATGATTCAAAGGATGGTGGCAGTGATCACAGCGGGATTTGCAGTTCACACCCATATGCCACTTCCCTGAAAATATAAAACGAAGATCTTTTAAATCCAACATCGTTACTCTTGGGTATGTCTGCCTGTATTTCTAGTAGGTCGGCGGCACTCCTCAGTTAAGGTGCAACCAAGGGAGGAGCTGGTGTGGAATGGGGACAGACTCCTAGGAAGCAATCGTGCATTGGCACTTTATCTACCTAGAACAGCTGGTTTTCTTCACCTATCTGTTAAAATTCCACGTGTGGCAATGGTCCAGCTCAGACACTTCCCTGAATAAGAACGAATAGGGTTGCAGTAGTTGGTGCTTATTATTTTTCACGTAATAAAGTAGCCATTCATTAATGGGTAGCCTGATGGGGAGAAACCCTTGTGCCAAAACAAACAACTAAGTGCAAGAACATGAACTATTTCACACACAAGTTCTATCTGACCTTCACAGTCCAAGAACAAATTTCAGGAAGAAGGTGTACATATTGGCTCTGTGTGTCTATATTAATCCTAAAATGAGTAGCAAAAATAGGCCATTCCAATTATCCAGTACAATTGGACATATCAGAATATGTCATACACTGATAATGAACCTTAATGAAGTCATATTACAGAGCAGTGTAATTATTCTGACATTGAAGGACAGACAGTCTATAACCATGGGCTTAGGGGCTATTAGCTAGACAAATAACTTCTGAGAACTGCTAACCAGCTCTGTACTCATGTATATGAATGTAGTTTACTGTATAAGCTATACCAGACTGCAGTGAGCTAGGAAAAGTTCACCCCTTTGCACAGGCTTGTGTGAAGTCAGTACATCACTAAGACTCACTTCAATTTAGGAACTAAATGACACCTCAGTGTGCTGGAGCCAAGCAGAGGTGTGAAAATCACAGTAATTACAATTAAGCACATGACACCTTTGAGTACATCAAAAAGAGTTTAAAAATGGGAGGTACTTGAAAGATACAGCCTTTAATGGCTGTTCAGGCAAAATTAGCAAAGAGTTAATAGGATTTTCTTTTTTGGACATGTATTCTGATCCAAACCCCACTGAAGTCAATGGGACTCTTTCAGCTTTTTTGGCAGTTTCTTTTTGCAGAAAATAAGGCACTTTTAGAGTCTTGACTGTGATAATAAGCAGACTGCATAAATAACAGAAAATCTAGCCACCAGATATAATTAAGACCACCGTGGTGCCTGGGTACTAACTGGCAGACAACATTTTTCTGCTCGAATAGATCAGTGAATATCTCTGTTGGTTCTTTCTAAAGCAATCTGTACTGGACAAACAAGATTCTTTCCTTTGCATTTACTTCTGTTTGCAGTGTACATCTATGTATTCCCATACGTCCTCATTTCGGTTTTACCAGATACGCTGTGCTGACAGCGGGGCTTGTGGATGGCATTCTAAAAACCCTGCTGATTATGTTATGTATACAAGAAACTCTAGTTTAACTGATCCTAGACATTTTGGCAAAGAAAAATATTTACAGAAGCAGTCTCATTTGAATAACAAGCAATGAAAAAGGGGCCAGTTGCTATGTCTCATACCCACAAGTGCTGTAGAATAACCTTGCTGGTGCAGTATTCTTGCAAAAGTAGTTTCATTTGGTGGGAGCCCACCAGAACACCCGTTCCAAAAGAGAACCTGCCGTTGAGTGCTGGATGCCATGCCTAGAGAGAAATAACAGTCTTTAACATAAAATAGACCATATTTCAGATTTTCAGTCTTCTCAGATTGTTCTTTCTAATGAATGGGACTCAGTTGCCTAAGTCTAGTGCCTTTTTATAAGCCATTTAGTATGCCCTGGGATATTCTGATTGACCCCCAGAACAATGTCTTTTCCAAGTCCCATGTCATTATTTGCTAGTCCAATGCAGATGCCTCAGCTATGCTGGGGTGTCTACAAATGGCACTAAGATGCCTATGTTTGGACATTAGGCAACCTCTTACAACAAAAGTTCTATCAAAATATAATGTTAAGAAAAGAGAAGAGGGAAAAAAAAAAGCAAAGACATTTTATATAGAACTAAAGGCTTACAGAGTCCGGGGTACGCACTTCTGAAATGTACAGAAGTGATTACATTTCTCCTTTAGGAAGTCAGGATCACATCAGAGGAGCTACACTGATTATTACTGCCGTATGCAGTGGCTGAAGTTTTCTGTCATGAATTTACACGGCTGAAGTAAATCTATTTTAAAACATTATTGTTGAGACCTATTCCACAGTCTGACACATTTCACTATGAAAAAGTTTACCAGGTATTCAAAATATTACACTTTACTTAATATAATCTTAATACCACTGAACATACAGTGTTTACACATAATCTTAATACCACTGAACATACAGTGTTTACACAATTTTCTTCTTCATGTTTCTACCTCTGGGTGGTTTGTGCTGTTTGGGTTTTCATCCATCTTTGTGTTGTCATTTAGCCACATTAAAAGTGCTTTATGTGGGAATTTTCCCATAGAAATCAATCACTAAATCTAGTCATCTTTAGTTTTGCCCATCTCACTGAGACCGCAAATCCTTAGATTAACTAGTCTTTAAAATGGTTTCTTTAAGGGGATTTTTAATAGCAATAATGGCTAGACAGACTGCAGTGAACCATTAGAGAGAGGGCCAACCTGATCTGATGGGATATCTGCCAGTCAGGAAAGCTGCTCTGCTCGGAGTACAGACAGCAGCTGCAGCAATGTGCTGAGTAAGTCTCACTCCTTCCCTTGCCAGGCCATCAATGTTAGGGGTCCTAAAGAGAAAAATCCCATCTCATAAAAAGGTACTACACAGAATTTTGTGGTATCCCACTCCTCCTAGTTTTGTCGAGGACATCACCATCAAATTTACAAAACTCTGTTTATCTACAATTCAACTAGGAAAGCTCTGTTAGATATTTTTTGAGATACCTTGGCTCCTTAGAAATGAATTTTCCATAGACAAATGTGTTTTTATTAATAACTAAAAAGAAAAAAAAAAAAAGAAAAGGTATTTAGTCTATCCCATATCAAAAGCTCACGCAGTATAGTGGAAAAAGATTCCATTAATAGATACAGGACAACACAATTTCCAAGATTATAATAGGTTAGAATAAACACAGGATATATATACAATCATTTTATCAGTCAATCTATATACAGAGTGATAACTGCAGCAGGGATAAATAGATCACATAGACTGAGCTGTCATTTCATAACAAGCCTACTAGATTTGTTAGCTGATATTAAATCCTAATCTCAGTCCTTGATATTTCAACCCTGGAGTTGTGGAAACTTATAAATTACACACATGCCTGACAAATACACTGCACAGACATATTTGCAAAATTCTGACTGTATGTGCTGAAAATTAGAAGTCCAAGAAAGTTCCTCAAGCATTCCTGTATCATTATTACTCCAGTAGGAATTACTGTAGAACATTTATTTTGTACATGGTTTAAAAAGAAGTGTATCTAGATAAACGAATTAATTAATAATGAGTTTTCTAATACTGTTATCATTGGTTTTTTCCATTGAAATTCACCAGAAAGGGATAATTTATTTCGTAGAATACATTCTTACCTTATTGTATCGTTGCCATAGCAACCCACATCTCCAATACCAAGATCATCAGCCAGTATCAGTAAAAAACTGGGTTTTGAAGGATTTGATACACAGGTTCTTGGAAACAAGCATAAAATTAGCCAAACGTTTAGATAGCTCCTGAAATTAGAAGTAAAGAGTTAATATTACAAAAACATTTGTAAGCTTTACAATAGACTTTAAACTGTTTATTAAAGTTTATGAGGACTGTTTAGATGCAAACAGCTACCAAATACTGCCAGCAGATGGAGCTCCTGAATATTTACAGAAGTTCCTGAGTTTTCTAAAGCCAGTAATATTGGGGTTTTTTTTTATTCACACAGGAATTTTGTGTGTGCATTTCTTTATTGAGATTTGCACTGATCTCAGCAGATGTTTCCAGTAGAATGAGTGGTTGGATGCTTGCAAGTCTCCTGAGACACCCCTTGTACAGGGGTGTAGAACACTCCTGTTAAGGCTCCTGGAATGCGTGGGACAGGAGCACGGAGGTGGTTGGTGTGGAGGCATGCTGGTTATGATGGCAATGCCTTGACTATTGCATCCACTGCACCCAGTGCTACACACAGCATCTGGAAAGTGCTCCTTCAAGGTTGCAGCAACCGGCTTAACCTTGTTTATCTTCCTAGAAGACCCTAAGAATATCTCAGCACGTGTCTTAGTTGCTCAAGAGTTTGCAAGAGGCACCTTACGGATGTTCACCTGAAGTAAAATACATAAGCTAGAACATATCTACTGACTGCTAGTTCATTAATAGATACTGCAATGTGATAAATGCATAGTAAATGTACTATACCATGTATTATATATACTCCTAAACCTCCATGTTGTATAAAAGCAGGATGAAAGGCCTTGAAAGACCAATAGTTCTAAATCTGTATTAACTGCTCTCAGATTCTCAATGAGAAGAAAAAAAAAAAAAAGAGATCTTTTTAAATTTTCTTAAGCACAACATGTAAAAACCAGAAAAGACCCTCAATGAATGTCTTTTCTTACCATTGTTTTCCCTGGTAAACTTCGTGGCTTCCCCATGTATGAAACAGGTACATAGCTGGTTACATAAATTCTGGTGGAAAAACAAAATAATAAAAAAAAAAATCAGGGCCCAGTAGCTCTGGTGATCTTGTCTGTGAGGTCGGTCATTAACAGCTCTGCATTACCGCAATCATATTGCCACTGCCTGCGGCTGGCTACAACAGCGGTGGACTGAACTACAGGGGCTTGATTACACAGGCCCTACATTCCTGACTGTGTGCTTGCAGAGCCCTGTTGAACTGACACTGCGAGGCAGAAAGGGCACTTCTGAGGCCGGGTAATGTCAGATAGCACAGCATGCAGTTTTGCAAGATCTGGCCCGTTCCCAGCTGCCAATAACTTCAGGGGGACCGGTGAGTGTTTGGCAAGAAGGCTAAATGCCCATGGCTTTAAACAAGTGTTAAAGGTACCAGTTACTCAATACATGCACAGAACTGTTGGTGTTCACTGAAAGGAAGGTTTTCACCATTTTACAAGCAGGAGGTTTGTAACAGGAGAGAAGTAAAACTAGTATCTCACTCTTTATTTAACTTCAAATTATCTTTAAGGTCCAGGAAAATAATCTAATCTTTACTGTGAGCTTTGAAACTACAAAAAATGCTTCAAAGAAAAGCCATCCTGGAAAGTGGTATTTGCAGTCCAATTCTTAGGGAAGGGACTGTAACATCCTTAGGTGTGGATGCCATCTAGTACATTCAAGGAGGTGTTTATCTGAATGTTACTAAAAACTGTCCAGAAACATAAATATCATTACGATCATTTCCTTAAAGGACTTCAAACCTTAATGCAATTTATAAGTTTAACAAGCCAGTTTTTCTACCTGCCAACTCCATGAACCCAACCTGGACTTTAAAAACTTAGAAATAACCCTTCAGTTTCTAAATATTTATTTTTGTCTGGCAGGGCAAATTTTATGAGTGGAAGCAATTTCCTAATGCTTGCTGAAATAGAGAGCACAACTAGTTGCTTTGGTCAAAGAATGGCTTGGGAAATGCACTCCTTTTCCTTGTGAATGGCCACAGACTAAGGGATCTGCAGAAAATGTTGCACTGGAATCATGCAAACAGTCATGCAGAAGTACATGACAAACCGGCTCCACGAGAGGCTGGCATATGCTCATCTTCATGCTGTACACTGAAGTAAATTAGAGATGACATTCATTCCTTCACTGTGAAAAGAGATAAAAATCTGAAACATCCCATCCATGCAAAACCCACAACAGTTTAGATATGCATATTCACCTTTTTCTGTTAGGGGCTGATTCCTTCTGAAAACAGAGCTCTCACTAACATCGCTAGGAGTGTCAGGAACCCAGTACTGGGCCCTAGGGCTTGTCCAGTTTCTTTAGCTGTTAAATGAAAAAAAGATTTAATCCATAAATCTAACATCAGCCTCTAGAAATCAGCAGTTACTTACAGAAATCCGAGAAAACATCAGATAGTAATTGGCTCTGTAAGCCAGTACGCCACAATCAATGATCAAGACTAATAAAAAAGGCCAACCCCTTTTAACAACGTGGAAAACAAACCCTCTTCTCAGTCATTCTTCTTGCTCTGAAATCCCTCTTGCTCCTTGGTGTGCTGAGCAGCCCTGATCCTCTAAGACGTGTGTGGGAGGAAGCGGGCTGGGACTTGCTCCTTTTCCTCTTAGTCTCCCTTCCCCCAGTCTCCAGCACAGAAACCGCCTGGGATCCCCGCCAGCAACCACCAGCAAACTGGAACTGCCGGGCAGGTTTCATATGAATTCCAGGCGGAGTACAAAGTCCTTATTCTTGAAATACTGGCACAACATGGCTACTGCCTTTGCTAGACTCCCTATTCAGTTAATTCTGTGCAGATTTGTATAAAGCCTGTCTCTATTTCAGTGCCTCAAAAGAGATGCTATAAATAATAACAACACAGCACTCGGAGCCCTGGGGTTTTGTTTAGTATTCCACCCCCCACTCACACTTCTTTCAGAACTTAACTCTGTTATAATACACTTTACCCTTCAAAAGGTCTTAAGCAATTACTTAGAGGAGCTCTCACCTATTCGTTTGTTGACATTTCAGTTCTCCGAGTTACTTGAATACAGTGAATGTGGAATTTAACACTGTGTTCTAGAGAAGCCAGTAGAAGTCAGTGAGGTGGAAAGATGAAGCAGCTTAAACTATCAGACTTGTATAATACACGGCAGGGATAATCATGGTTTGAAGCAGTTTTTTATTTGTTGGCCTCCTTGCATTTATGACTATACTCAGTTATTTTTATAAGATACAAGTTTTCAAATTGGGCTACTTTTATTCATACCTATTTGACTATACTACTAATTTTGTATGATTACTTAACAGCTTGTGATGCTTCTGGTGCAAAGATTTTTCTTGAAAAAAATATATTTCTCAAAATTATGTCATGCCTTTGGAAAGATGGATCTTTAAAAGTTGCCAATAACATATGTATTAATTTCCATCTGTCTTTGGTCCAAATTATGACTAAACTTTTCTGTCAGCCTTTCTAGACTGTTTACATCTTTCTCACCATGTGATCACTACTGAAGATGTGCCCATGCTGCTGCTGGCACGCCTTAAAAAATCAACCAACCAAAAAACCAAGCCAAAATCCTCCCAAACCCCCACACCTTTAAATTTTTCCCTGATAACAAAACTCTATCTGGAAGCGGAGGAGGCATTCCGCTGGCACAGACCTTGCATCCTGTTCCTCACCGTTACGTTAGTGACCCAGTACAGGGGTAACAGCTGTGATTACTTATTGTCTTCAACAGAACTAAGCTTTAAACAAAGACTTTTTTTTTTTTTTGTTTAAGAAAAAGAGCTTTGTAACAATGACGCAGAAAGGAGATGATTTTTATCTCTGCATTTTGAGCCCTGCAGTATTTCCTTCTCTTACGATAACTGTTTTTTCACTGCGCCTGAGCAGAGGAAGCTGCTGTTTACGCACTGCTGCATACAGGCAAATTCTCTGCCAGCAAAACCTCAATTTTTGAGTCATTGTGTGCTTTATACTGCCACTTTCTATCTGGCTTTTTGCACATGTCTGAGTACTAAATGCAAACACTGGCATTTGTATAGTCCCTTCTACCTTTGACAAGTTTTCAGGATGAATTTATAGTAGCAAAGAACATAAATATTGAAGTGACACAAACAGAAATTTGTAAAATTATTTCTATGTTACACTTATGAAAAAAGACTAAGAGATAAAAAGAAAATCATTAATCAACTAAACTGGCTGAGCAAGTAAAACATTTGCAGGGGTATTCCTTGGGGGGGGGGGGGACGACGACAACAACAACAAAAACCAAACTAAAATAATCTGTTTCCATTTACTCACTTCAACCCCCAAGTTCTTTGCAGTTTTAGCAACTCTGACTTCATCCACTTCTGCAGAAAACCCAGTCATTAATACAATTCAAAGCCCTAAAATCTCTGCAATTTCACTGCAAGCTTTAGTGCAGAATCACATCTTCTTAGAAAGTCTGGCTAGGTTCACACCACTGCAGGATTTCTGGTTTGTTTGTTTGTGTCTTCTAGGTTGGTGGTGGTTTGTTTGTTTTTTTTTTTTTTTTTTTTAATAACTAGTATTGGCAGAACCCCCTTTTACAAATTGTAGTTTGTAAACCTGTGTATACTGCTACCAAATATTTTTGAGCATTAATTCCACTGTAAGTCTCAAATGAACCTTGTTTTTCTGGAACTGACATTGAAACAGTGCAAGATATTAATCCAAAACATTTTTTATTGGCAACTTATATTCAATAAAATTGCTGTTTGCCAAATTAGTATGCACCAGAACCTCTTTCTGAAGAGCAAAATGCTTCTCTTTCTTTTGTAACTGTTGCAGGGTTATACTGGACTTTAACATTTTGTACTTCGTATTGTTTGTGATACATGTTGTCACATAGCTAAAGCTGTTCACAACTGGAGGACGATCCCTCACTAAATCAGATTCACTCTGACTCAGGTGTTGCTCAACATCTCAACAAGATTACTGCAGAGAGAACAGAGAAGTACAGGAAGCAATAATGACACAAACTACTGTGTCTGGATAGAGTACGACCGTGATTTGTGGACTATAGGGGCACAACTGCGAACATCTAGAGTTCTGCGTAAGTCTAGTATTTCTAACTGCTGCCTGCTCAGCACCATACACTAGGCTCTCTGCAGAGTTCTCCAATTTTCTTCCTTCAGCAGGCGTAAATTAGGCAGAATTTAGGCATATACCTCTACAGCCGTCTCTTGCACACAAATCTGCAAAACCAGTCTCCATTCAAGCCCTTTACCACACCAGACAGGATTTCCGTAGGCCTTTGGCCAGTCGTGAAGAATGAAGGGGAAAATCTCTGATCAACATTCCTTTTCTTTATTTTCATCCACTTTGCTTCCCAGAGAAAGGACACAGTTATTTTCCAAAAGCTTTTTCAGCAGAGGACTCAGTGCCACAGGACATGTTAGTAGACATCCATCTCACAAACTTTGTGTGCTGTCACCTTCCTTGTCACACCAACAGAATGGGAACGTCCCGCAGCACGGCTGCAGCCATGGCTTCCACATGACGTTGTACAAGGAGAGCTGCTCTGGGACTGGAGTCAGTGTCCTGCGATGCTCTTCTACGGCTCTTCCAATCTTCCTTATTACAGTGTCAAAGATGGGCTCGGTGTCAGCCGTCAGGGGTTTGGCTTCAGAGGGGTCTCGCGAGAGATCAAACAGCAACGGAGGGTCATGATGGGTCACACCTTCCCCAAAACATGGGCAAATTCCTTTTCCATAACAAGCCCCAGCCCCAGGTGGATGGAAGACGGGGGTCACATAATGAGCCTTCCAGATGGCTCCACCTGGCAGGAAAGAAATCTTATGGCACAACTACAAGACAATGGAGGAAAATGGAAAGTGTCTTCAAGCAATAGGAGTACAGCTATTTACTAAGGAGACCTCCTCTCACACACCCTGGCACCCCCATCACCACAAATCAGATTGTCTGTGTGGAGTACTGACTTTGAAGATGGAAAACATTAGAAATAT